GGTCCTCTTGTTTGGTCTGGTGCATCTACTTGACTTATTTTTGAGCCAAACAATTAGATAAAACCTAATAATTTTTTGTTTAAATAGGTGAAGTTTTTCAACATGATGTAAATTGATGAAACAATAAATGAACGAAAATCATTAAAAAACCCTATTTGAACTCTATCGCATATTACAGATGTTATTAATGCAAATGACAGACCAGCTACTTTTGAGACACAAACAGAAAACTCTGAAAACTGCTGAAAAAAAACTGTAACAAAAAGAAATTGAACTTTTGTCCATGCACAGCAAAATCAAAGTCAACATAAATTTTACGTCGGTTTTGTCTCTGCAAACAATATCGAACTTTTTCATGGACGTCAGGAATCACATGCGCAAATGCCAGTTCAAAACCAATCAGTTTATTACCAGAAACCAATTTCGCAGCGCTCCAAGGTTGCAATATAGACTGCGAGCGAGAGTCCGAGAGAAGCAGCTCCTGCTAAAACAAGGCAAGGAAAGTTGAACAGAAGATTGAGGCTACGCTTCGTTCAAGGTAGCAGGAGATTCAGATTCAGTCAATTATTAGTCATCAATAACTAAAAAATTGTTGCGTAGGAAAACAACCAAAATTTAACAAAAACGATTTTTGAAACAACTGAATATCCGAAATTCGTTTTAAAAGCTGAGAAAAACGCAAGGGCATTTCAAGTAAAAAGTTCCAAACTTTTGTCCTTTCATCTGGTTTGTCGAACCACCGTTCAAGAACAATTTAGGTAGGTTACAAAAATTTTATTTAAGTATGATTTTTTTTCAAAGCACAAACGTCCATTTTCAAAATGGCTACATCTCGCAAAACTCATTGATGCCTGGTATTAAAGAATATAACCTAACACAACCATAGGCATTATTGACCAAATTTTTAGACAAGTCTTTTTACACGCCTCATACTGACTGCTCAACAGCTTTTGTTACTTGTCAATTTTACTATTTTAGCGTCCATTATCTCATTTTTGAGTTCTAGTTTTAATTTCACTAGGATATGAAGACGACATAAAATGTAATTCCGTCGTAGATCGTTTTTTTTTCAAAAGGCCTCGAAACATGAGAAAGTTCTAGTTTTTAACTCAACCTAGAGATGTTGGAAACAGCTAATCGTTTTGGGTTCTAACGGCCGGCTCCAATTCTAACGGCTGGCAGAGCTGATGTGCATGAATTGATTAGTGTATGCTTGATTAAGTGCAGAACTGAGGACACAGTAAAAAGGGGTTTCCACGAACCACCCACGAAAGTATTTGCTATTGCTTGCTAGTGCTGCTTCAAGCCTCGATTTGCAGGCAAACGCTCCTAGGTTTTTATGCATGAGTAAACATGCCAAGTGGAGTTGTGCTGAGTTGTTCATGAAAATACCGCCGCAAATCAGCATACCCAAATGAACTACAAAAAAAACTGTTTCACTTACGTACGACTCAACCTCTTGTTTTGCTGAAGGCACACATACAGTAAGTGCAGTAAACTTGACTGTGAAACATTCATTATATCAGGTTGCCTGGTTATGAGAGAGTTCCGCAAGCCTGCAAACAAGGAGGGCAACAGTAGCAACAATTCTTCTCCTAAATTAAAGCAAACCGCCACGCCGAATTGCACCAAACCAACGAATTTTTCATCTAATTTCAATAATTGGTTGATATAAACAGGCATGCAACTCATTGTTGTGCCTTTTATTAGATATGCCTTTTATTATGCAATTGATTTTCCAGTAAATGATTGCCTTTTTCTGGAACCTGTCCACACAGAGCAGGATAAATTGATCTCGTTTTCTGAAATCATTCTTTGTGACAATATTTTTACAGTTTGCCAATTCAAAAAGGAAAGTCTCAGCTCTGATTTTTATATCACAGGCTTTCCAAACTTGCCTGAGCAATTACCCCATTAGCATCAATTATCCCGTTGTCTTTAAGTTCGATGACGTTGAGATCACTTCGGGCAACATGTGTTCAATGCTGTCAAGCCTCTCGAATTTTTTCTGTGAACAAAAATGAAATCCTCCTGTTTCTTTGTATACCCATTGGTTGAGTCGTCAGTGGTGGGCTTCTTTCACATTCTAGTGTTCGAGCTGCTATTTTAAAGCGCAATGTTGAACATTTTTACTCGTCGATCAAGTGAGAAGTTGGTATGAACTTGAATTTTGTGGGTCCGCAGCTGATTCAAGGTCCGCAGCTGATGATCGGGCTCAGCAATTTCTAACTACTACCTCAATTCACGTTGACTTGACATGATCTGTGCTTTAAAAAAATTGTCCTTCCTGATATTTTTGTCTCATCGTTACTTCAACTTTCATCTATTGAAAAACGTTTGGAGAAACAACATCATTTCAAAAACTATCTTGGAGTCTTGTGGCAGTTTAAAGAAGGCATACTTAACGCCAATTAGCCATCATGACTCAAAAAACCGTTCTGACATGGAATGATACATTTTGCACTGCCTAACGGTAAACCCAAATAAACCATCCAAACTTCACTGCATTTTAAACATGGCATCTTTTATCTATGGAAGTTGCTAAGAAACTCCTTTTTTGACGGCCCTAACCTGTTGTTAAAGTTTTTGTTTGTTTTATTGCATTTCCGAGAGCGCAATTAGTCAGTATCAACTAACATTGGAACTGTGAATAAGTCGGACGAAATGCTGGATTGCAATCAAAGTTCTTTGCTTGCTTGTGGCAGGAGATATGTGAGCCTGAATTTGTGAGTTTATTTCAAATAGATAGGCATATCTTTGGAGCAAAAAACTATTAACTTGTGCATACTACGGTCTTCTCTAAAAAAGACGTCGTTAACCAAAAACAATTTTTCGGAGCCCTTCACGCCGTGAAGAATATTTTTGACATAAGCTTTTAGCATGGCTATGTAAGAAAATCCAGCTGTAAGATATCCGCTCCGTGGAAAAACACCTTTGAAACTGATCTGCGGTTTTGTTGATTTAAACAGGCAGAGTGAACATCATTTTTCAGCATTCCACTGAAGATAGAGCTAAAAAAAAGGAAACACTCACAGCTAAGAACACTCTGCAAACTGCTTTGCGTGCACTTAGTCGCATGTACTCGCTCACTGACACGTTGGTTTTAAGCCGAGGAGTTATTTGCGAGCTCAAAATCTCTGTTAAGCAAGGGTCGGTTTTAAATTTCGTGTCACACTTGTTCGTTACAGCATGTTCCGTCGCTCCGTATACCGAATGTCCAAACTTTTAAGTTGAAATAATTTCGCTGGTGATTGACCCACTGTCACTAGCGTTGTCAAACAGTATCATTGAAAGGCCCTGGTAATTTTCTGTTTTAGATCCTCTGACGGTCTGTCACTACTACTTTGACTTTCATGTGCAATATGGCTCACTGATGTGTTGTGTACCGTTGCATTTCTTCACTCCCAAAAAACCTTCTTTTCCTAGCATCAAAATGTGTTTGTCTCCTGAAACGCAGGAGCAGCACCAAAGAAAATGTTTTCAGTAGCGGAATTGGAATTCAAACTGCTCTCCAAGCAACGCGGCTGAGGGATGAGATTGAGAAAGCTCTAAAGCTGAGACTTTTTAATATTTTCAAGTAGATTGACAGCAATTTGGTACATCGGAGATTGAACTTGTGTCGTAAACAAATTTCTTTGCCACTCGGATAGCCGAAGTTTTAGATTCGAAATCTTTTCATCATTGGTTACATAACCTAAGTGGTAACAACCCCTCTGACTTGCGTGAAATTGACTGAAAATCTTGCATATTTATTGATCTTTGAATTTCACTGCCAGCTTCGCTTCAAACCAAAACACTATTCACGAAAAATAGCCAGCGCTTCTCAAAATAAGATCAGATTTTTAATCATCAATAATTTAAGGCACTGTTGAACTCAATTTCAATTTCGGCACTGTTTCTTTTCGGTTTTGTTGAATTCCCCCACTGAAATATGTTGGGCACGCAGTCCTTTTGTTAAATAGTCTTCCAAAAAGACACAAGAAGGATCAAGGATTTTCGCGAGTGAGGGATTTTCAATTCTTTTTTTTTAATTTTTCAAAAAACTTCGGTTCAACTTTGTTATTCCGAGCTATCCTTAACCAAAAACGAGAACGTTCTTCAGACTTTCTCCAACCGAAAACGATAACCAAAGACGTTCTCCAGCAGATGCTGTTTTATCTAAAATGAGCCAATAATTTTTTTTTTTTTTGGCATTTTTGAAAAACTTTGACAGAAATTTGCGTTTACTTTGGCGTGAACTAGTCTAGTCCTTCTTATAACAAAAATTGAGAACCAATTTTTGTAGGTTCTATTATTTAATAGGTTTTTCTTTGACAGCCACAGCCAGATCTAAAATTTTTTGGTCAAAATAATTTTGCAAATTATGTATTGTAGTGAAATACCAAACATGAGAAGGTAAACAGATCCTCAAACAAAATCAGAAATAGATATTATATCATACACAATTGAAAATTTCCAACTTTTTATCTACAAAATGAATATACCTATTTCGATTTACTTCATTTAATATTGCGCTTTTGATTCGGATGATAATAACAGCCATATTTTAAAACAAAAATTGATGAATTTAATATAATCATACCGCGCCAACAAAAACTTATCCAAATTTTGAAATATCTAATGAGAACATAGCCAAACATGAGTTAAACTGTTTTATCTTCCATTTTCTATTTTGATTTTGAAAAGGCAGCCCAGATTGCCAGATAATCTGGATGTCTAACTTTTAGGATTAGATTTAATGGGATAACTCTCTGAAACCCACAAACCAGACAATTTAAACAATTTATATTCAATGCGGCTGTTGATTATTTGCTGATATTTATATACCTGTGTTGAGATATTTGTACGGGCATAGATTTACTTTCAAGCTGTGTGCAGTTTTTATTTGCTCATTTTTAAAAACTTTTATAGCTCTTATGAACATCTTTTTTTCTTCGCCTCTTTTAATTTTTTTCATTTTTTCTTTCAACTTGTGACTTTCTTCTATCAATATTGAATTATCTTTTATCAATTTTAATTTTGGCTGACATTGTCTCAACTCAGGTATAATAGTAGCTGAAAATTGTTTGTTTTGTTTATTTTTTGTTCTGGTCTAGTACTGTGTGGCGCCACTGGGGTCACACTGGAGAAGTCGGACAATGGAGGGGTCACTTTTGGCGCCCTCTATGAACTCCTCGAGGGACAGTTTCCCATCTGCGTTCTTGTCCATCTGTCGGAATATCTTGTCCGTTCTCTTCTCGGGTGTCGACTCGTCCTCGGGCATCTTCATGACCGAACCCACCATCTTGTAGATGGCCTGCACAAACAGCAACAATTATGTTAGTTTGTTTTTGCAAATGTATATAATGAGCGATATTCGTTAAAAGGTTCAAAATAAGCTCAAAATATGAGTAGTTTGGTTTTTGAAAACACGTTTTCGTCGGTCACTGTGTTCTAATTTTGGATCTTGTTTACTATCCCCACTGTTACAAAAGTGTGTGTGTGGGGGTAGGGGGGGGGGGGGCTTGGAATTGTTACAAAGAGGATTCGTTAAGACGGATTCGTTAGGAAAGGTAGTTACATGGAAGGTACAATTTTAATACATTTTGAGGGGGTGAGATTGTTAAGTAGTTGGGGGGTGTGTGGGGGGGGGGGATGGTTGAGATTCGTTCGTTAGGAGGGATTTGTTTGGGGGCTAAATGTAGTTACAGGGGATGTTACAAACTTTTATGTTTTCAGGGCGAGATTGTTAAGTATCCGAAAGAAGTATCATCTACTCACAGTGACTATTTCTAACATCTCCTGTTTGGTGATGTATCCGTTGCCGTCCAAGTCGTACATGTTGAACGCCCACCTCAACTTCTGGTCCAGCTGACCTCTAGAGGTCACAGAAAGAGCACAGATGAATTCTCGGAAGTCAATCGTTCCTGGAAACAAACAGCTACACTTTCTGAGAGAAGTAGTAATTGACAAAAACTTCTTTAAAATAAACTAGGTTTTTTCGCCCAGATATTTTAACGTCAGGTGTCGTAGCTTGAGGTTTGTTTTCAGACCGAATCAGGTACGCTTAAGACTTGCTACTCAATTTCGTGTGAGTTATCACAATAAAATCTTATCAATTGTGCTTCGATCTCTTACTCGAAAATCACTCGAGTAAAATAGCTCTTAAAATTGTGGTTAACGCATCTACTATCTCGTTTAAAAATCACAAATGGAAAGAAATTATGAAAAACATTTTGTGGCAACGAAAACTGCTGCAAAATAAATTTTAACTTAACTAAGGCAATTCATCCACAAAAGTTCCAGCTTACGAGTTGTATAGCTCATTACGAAAATAACTGTTAAGCCACTGCCTAAGATTTGCATTGCATGTTTTTTTTGTTTTTTTCTCACCCTCAAGCACTAGACACGGATCATGAAAAACAAAATTGTTCCTGGTGAAGTTCGAACCCTAAACTTTTGCCGTTCGAGACATTTTTGAATTTATTATGAAACAACGTACCACAAGAAAAGATCCCAGAAGTTGACTAGAGATGGGTCCTGTGAACGAAGTTTTTTACGGGAAGAAATTTCTAGCACCCGATTGCAATACCATTGCTTTTCGCAAGGACAAATTTTATTTTGATAATTTTTCACTTAAAAGCCTTTTATTTACAAAAATTTTTATATTCAGTGATTTCTGATAGGGTTTAAGAAGACTGCATGCTTATTGCTGTTTTGTCCGCTTTTCAAGGCAGAAAAAAGTAACCAGGTTAAAAAAAACTAGTGACATACTTCTTAAAATATCGAATCTAAATGCAGTCCAATCTAGAGGTAAAACTGAGTCCAATCTTGAAAGAATTAATTAGGCCGGAATGATAATTAAAACGTTAGAAAATTTAGGTTAAGCCCTAAGTTAGTGTAGTATATTTGACTTAATACTTTTATGATACTACAATATATCTTCATTTTTGTGTCATTTTAAAAAGAAATCTTCGCATTCCTCATTATTGCACATCTAATTTGAGAATGAAAATTTTTCAGACACTTTTTTGAGTACCTCTTGTTTGGGTTAAGGAGCAATGGCTTTCGCTTCAATTAAAGGAACAAGATTTACATCAAATCCATTATTATTTACATTAAATTCGAATCTTCTCCAATTCGAGCGTTTCTCTGAATCAGTAATATTTTTTTAAAGAGAACGTTCAAACTGAGGTTTTTTAAAGTACAGCGAGAAGTGTGCCGAATCATGTAGCATTTTAATTCAATTTTATAAGAAAAAAACCTGATTTTTTGTTCTGAGAATTTCACTTAACAACTAGAAGAAACGATCGCCTAGGATGTTTTTTTTTGTGTTAATTTAATAGAACTCGTGAAGGTGAAAGATGGTATCTTAATTGTATTGCTCATACTTGCTGATAGTTTGAGTTCCAAAAAAGTACGAAACAATAGTTCCAGTGTCGAGATAATTTCGTCTTAGTACTTCAGATCAACTTGATTTAAACGATGAGCATCGATAGCGTGTTGCTGTGCAAGTAGCACAGAACATTCCGATCATAATTTTGCAATAATGGCTAGCCTACACACCATAGTTAACATAAGAGCTCCCTCCCACTTCCTGAAGTCGTCGGATTAAACACCTGTAATTAAATATTTCCTGATTTTAAATCTTTGTAATATTGAAAGCTTCAGATCTCATTCTTTGAAAGTCTCTTGCTGAGCAAAAAATAAACATTTTGCTAACAATTCAACTGTTTTGAATTTGTTATCATGTTGTCTAGCCCAATTATAACATGCCAATTGTGCAAAAGCAGGCATTGAAAGAAATTACTGACCGTCACTGTTGACGTCGAATGTTCTGAAGACGTGTTCTGCGAATTTTGAAGCATCTCCGTAGGGGAAGAAGTTGCCGTAGATCTTCTGGAACTCCTGCACTGTCAGCTGACCGGAAGGACAGTCCTTGCAGAAACCCTTGTACCACTCGGAGATCTCAGCCGGGCTGAACTGGGTCTGGGAGGTGAGGTCATCCAGCATCTCCGGCTTCAATTTTGAATTCTGCTTGCCCATTTGATGATCACGTGATAGAGAGATACTTCTATGGTCACGTGGTAGTGATACTGTGGTAGTCACGTGGTTGCGATGCTACTAGGGTCACGAGGTAATGATGCTAATATGGTCACGTGGTCGCGATACTTCTATGGTCACGAGGTAATGATGCTAATATGGTCACGTGGTCACGATACTTATATGGTCACGTGGTAATGATGCTAATATGGTCACGTGGTCACGATACTACGATACTACTTCGGTCACGTTGTTGAGTGATGCTATTAGTCAAGCGCAAACTATTTGACGAACGTGGTCTCGTAATTTCGGGAGATCGGACAATGACCCGAGTGCTACTATCGTGTGTTGTGAAGTGGGAAATTTGAGTTGGTTCAAATATGTTTTTAGACGATATCCAAATGCCTCTTACCTAAAACAACAGTCTTAGGTAAACTTTGCAAGAGTAAAGCAACATCCCCATAAAAGAAAAAAACAGTTGCAAGTCACCTCGAGGCATGCCTACTTTGGGCCAGATTAAGGCTTTTTACCTGCAGAAATTTTTAGAGTCAATTTAATGCTTTCTTTGAACCCCTCTCCCAAAAAGGCCCAATTTAGACCAAAACTTCTACATCAGTGCCAGTCTTTGAAAGTTTGAGCCAAAACTACCAATTAGGGACACTTTTTGGAAAGTTTTGTCCGAAAATATTAGTCAAAATTTTTCCCCTTCCTTTTACATATTCGCGCCAAAAAAATTAAGTTTTGAAGGTTTTGACCCTCTGATGGGCTAGGCTGTCGAGTTCCTGAGTCTCCTCCTAAATTCGCTATTGATTCCAATAATTTCATACCATTTAAAGTCATCCGCAAAACAAATAACAAAAACGGGCTGTTCTTATATATCAGAAATCTGATATGAACACAATAGGAGTTTTCTCCTATATACCATTTTTTATAGTTTGACGACAACGCCCCTTCAAAACTTTTATTCTAATGTTTATTTTATTTTTTCTCTCGTAAATTTTCCGCATATCTTATTCGAAAAATCAATAAGGTTTGTTTCAAAAAATCAATAAGATTTCGTTTTCAAAGAGTCTTATGTTTGCTTTCAACAATCATTTAGCGGCATATCAAATTTACTCTTACAAAATTGAAATGACTGATGGCGAAATTCAAAAAAGGAGAAAGCTTGAAAAAATATCCAACCATTTTCAGACAGCTCAAAAATGAAGACAAAAATAATCTTATTTAATGATTGCGAACAACTGGAGTAAAACTTTCAGTCATCTCCTTTTAAACCAAAAGTGAACAAAATGCCCCACTGTAGTTAAACACGGTAACTAAATTTTTAAAAGCAAATTTTGATTTTGAAAAATAAATCAAAACTAACTTTGATTATTAAATCGAATTAGATGAAAACTATTTTTTAATCGGAAAATTTCTAAAAAACGGCTACAACACAGAAGGACATACGAATATTAGGGATTAAAAGGGGCGGATTTAGGGGGGGTAGGGGCGGACGCCCCTTACTCAGGGATTCGACCCCCTACCAACCCAAAGGCTCCCCCCTTTGTACTATTGTGAGATATCCATATTTGGCGACGGACCCTAAAAGTTTTCTAAAGGCGCCTTCGGAGCCAATATATACTAATTTTGAGGGGGAAGCGTGTGCCAAAAAACGCGCTTTTTTGGTCAAAATTTTCCAAAAAGTGCCTAAAAACACCTTTTTGACCTATTTTTCTCAAAATTTTGTCTGCGGCGCAGAAAATTTGACCAAAACAGGATCTTTTTAGTGATTGGGGAGAGCTCGGAAAATCAATTTGATCGACCTAAAAACAAAAGTTGATAAATTTTTCGAAATTTTTTTAAAAATCCGTATCCCCTCACCCCCCCTCGAGAAAATCCTAGATTCGCCCCTGGTGATTAATCCAAAACATTATTCATGTGAAAAAAAAACTAATTTGAGTTTTTCTGTACAAAATACAGAACCTTTCAGTTATAATTTTAACATCATGAGAACCTACACAAGTTACATGATCAGAAGTAGTGCCCCTGAAAAAAACATCCAAACGGTTTCTACCACACTATAAATTTTAATATACATCGAGCAAAATGTTTTTCTGTAAAATTCAAAAATTGATTGATAGAAAAGATTTCAAGCCAACCGACAGAAAATCGTTCATGTGATAATAATCAAGCATTTTAATTGGAAATACTGTCAACGTTTTATGCAATGAAGTTTTTTTTTTCCTTTTTTTTGAGAAATTGTAGGTCTCTTTTTGAGATAACAAGTAGGTCTCGAAATTGTTCTGGAAATGGTTTTGCAGTTAACATTTTTTCTAGTTCAATTTTGAGACCTACTCAACATTTCATTTTTTTGGACGTACTTAAGAATCCCTTTGCATGCATTAATTTTCAGCTTTTTGCTTCAAAATTTTTTTTCTAATTAATGATTCTAATTAATGTTTGCTATTTAAACAATTTTATACTTTTTCTAATAAATGTTTCTAATGTTTTTAATTTATGTTTGCAAACTAAACAATTACATACTTTTTTCCGTGTCTGTACTTTTTTCTGTGTTGCGAGCTTGACAACAGAGGGTAGGACTTATTACGATATTTAGAGCCGGTTTTTGCCACGAAGCGGCGACGCGCGCTCAGCGCGCCCACCGGCGACCTTAAACCGGACTGTTTTGTTATGGACTGTTTTGTTTTCTTCATTTCATGATTTTTTGGACTATTTTCTTTTGGACTGTTTTGTATGGGACTGTTTTGTATATGAACCTTATATGAAGTAGGAATCTAGTCATTCTGTTATTTAGGTTTTTGCTCCAACCAATAAAAACGGAGAGGAACTTTGTATTCGGAGTGCTTTCAATTTTAATTTCTGCGTAAAATCAGGTACCACAAATAATCATCGAACTGGGTCGAAAATAAAACCGGTTAGAAATTTTGATTTTTAGTCTGATTTCGAGCAAATAAAACGAGCGAAAAGGCTTAAATTGGGCTTTTTATGAAAAGATTTGAAAGCTTTTATGATTTTTTAGTTTTCCTAGTCACATTTCTACACAAACTAGTAACTATTCATTTATGAGTGTCGAATGTGTCCAAGTTTTACGCTCTATCTTAGATACTTTGGTCACTTTAGGTACAAAAACGACACTAATTTGAGCAAAGTTTTTTTCGCGTTTTTTCGGCGCTTGCTTGCTTTCAAATTTATTATATATTGGCGCCGAAGACGACCTTAGAAAAAATTTAAAGTTGATCGGCCGACAATGGAAGTCATAAAATAATATCAAAGGGGGGACCTTCGTTGATGAGGGGTTCGAAGCACTGAGGGGCAGGGGGCGTCCAAACCCACCCCTTAAACCCGCCCCTGCATTAAAAACACAACGAAGAAAATTATCATTCGATAGGTAAGTATACTCTGTTTGAAGTTAGATGGGTTTGAGAACATTCGCAATTTTCAATTCAAATTTTATTCAATTTTTTTGTTTCCTAAGTCGGAGCGGAACGAAGTTAACATCTTCCCCCTGATGCGTTTTACAGTGGAGGACGACAAGTTGGTCTAACAATCAAAATCTATTATTTTACTCTCAGAGCTAAATAAATTCAATTCAAATTAAATATAGGGGTGGAGAATCCTAACTTGGTCTATCAAGGGGGAAATTGACTGACCTTGGGTTTCAATTTAGTTTTTCCAATTAATGTCGGAATGTCACAGTCAAATTAGGAACCACGGCATTTTTTAACACAGCCAGTTGGCTTGCAAAACCTTGATATGAGCTTTAACTCCATTGCTGTAAGTTTACACTTGATTTAAAACGATGCTCCAAAAACTGAAAACCGATACAAAATTTCAACAAAAGCTAAATAATGGACAACATATGCTATTTGTAGAACAAGATACAAAACCTTTATAGCTGTACCTATCGATATTAGGACAATTATATTAATCGATTGAAGGCAATATCAAATTAATAGCTGAAAATTCTTCTGACAAAACGTTCAAAAACGAATTTTTCAGACCCGTTTCTCCGACACTGGTAAACTTTTCGAGAAACTTTATCTTAGAATTCAAAGCACAAGTAAAACGCATAATCTGATGCCGCATTTTACTCTCTACAAAGTCAACATCGGCCCGCATTGTTTCTCCGCACTCTACGTAGTCGAAAAAAAAATTATGGCATGAATAAACTTGGAGAGTTGGTGGCCAAAAAACGAAATGGCCTCGAGAGTATTTTTTCATCAGTTACGACAACCAACCGAGGTGGGTTTATAATTGGAGGGATGGGGCAGAAGCTACTCTTCAGGATTTGACCTCGTCACCATTCAAAAGATTTTCTATAGAGACCTTTGGCAACAATATATACCAATTTTGAGAAAAAAATTTGTACTATTTTCACAAAAATTTGTTGGCGATGCAGAAAAATTTGTTAAAATAGGATTTTTATAGTGTTTTACGGGAGCTCAGAAAATAAATTTGATTGATCTAAAAAATTGTCGTAAGAACTTTTGGAATACCCCTTGCAATGAGAAATTTTTAGACCGGCCTCCCGAAAACCATATGACCATGTTGTTTGGGTAGTGCACATTGAATATCTATTGCTAGATAAAATTTCGGGTAAATTGTTTCAAGCAGGAAAATCAAAAAAATTAACACAAGGATAGCCGGTTGGTGTGCAAGAAGCGCAGAATGTTTCGACCATATTCTTAAAAAGACAAAAAGTATTTATTCAAACTTGTGTTGTTTTTGTGCGTAATGTGATGAAAGGGTCTGAAGAAAAGCTGAAATTTGGTTTTATTTGACAATCACAGTAAAACCGGCAAATCGAGCTAGCCTTCAAACCGGTATTTGTCAAAAAATGACTAGAAAAGCAAAAACAGAATTCAAAAATCAAATTATAAATTATGATTGGCTTTTGTGTCTATAATAAGCCTGCTTGCTTGCTTTTCTCATTCGAAATTAGACTGAAACTCAAAAACTTCAAACGGGGTTTACTCAGCACTGCGAACATTTTTTAGAATGTCCTATTGGCGTTCGAACCACAATTGTAAGAGTTTTAATATGATATCACTCGAACCATAACCATGATTAATTGTGGTAACTGATTTTGCGTGAAAACATAAAGCAAAAAGAAAAAAGTAAGACACCCGAATACAAAGTTCCTCTCCATTTTTAAAACTATCGGAACAAAAAGCGCCGAGATATTAAATTGAAGAGATCTGAAAACTCTTAAGAAAAAACTTT